GCGGGTGGCCTGTGGTCCCTGGCCGGCTGCAGGATCTGGGCGCCGGCGTTCTCCTCTGGGACCTGAACGGAGAAGGCTGGAGCCAGAGGCGGAGGCCGCAGGAGACTAAGCGAGGCAGAGGAGAGTCTACGCAGGCGCTGTGGCTGGGCTCTAGACCGTAGGAAGCCGGGAGGGCTGGGGGTAGGCAACGAAGGCCGCTGTTCCCGGGAGCCCTGCACTGGACCCACCAGCCCCAGGTTGGAGCGGTGACACTTGGGCTCCCCACAGTGAGAAGGGCAGCTGCATTGAAACCTCATTTCTTCGGTGTTGACATCTCTTTCTTGGGCCCGCGGGCGGTTTTTTGGAAGGACTTAGGAACTTGACGTGATGAGGAGTCGGAGTAACTCTGGAGTCCGGCTAGATGGCTATGCTCGGCTGGTGCATCAGACCATCCTGTGCCACCAGGTAATTGTAGGTGGGTCACCTGGGATGACCGGGGATGTAAAAATGTGGAGCGTGGTCTACTGAGCAGAGATCCTGGGTAAGCCCGTGTGGTGTGAGTGTGTGTGTGTGTGTGTGTGTGTGTGTGTGTGTGTACCAGGTTCTCCTACTCCCTAGGTGGAAAGGCCGTAAAAGAAGGAAAGGTAGATTCTGGGTCTGGAGCCAAACCAGAGCCAGGCACCAATGGCCATGATCCCCTGAGCTCTGTCCCCAAAGCCACGCCTGATTCCAGGGGCAAAGTGGCAACATATGTTGAAGCTTGACATTTTCCCAGCCCCCAGGATTGGGCCTCATCTCCTCTTCCCAACCTGCTACTGAAAAGAAGTAGGGGAACATTTAGCCATCATAAGACTAGACTATTGTGAAGGTCAAAGCATCTTTTATATACTTTTTTTTTCTTGTATATACTTTTTTGTGGTGAGTATAGCACTGAGGATTGAACCCAGCTCCTCACGAGTGCTAGGCAAGTGTTGTACCACTGGAGGATATCCTCAGCCCTTTTTTTTTTCTCAGCCCATTCAATCTTATTTTATACCTTACTTTACTTTGAAACAGAGTCTTGCTAAGTTTCCCAGGGTCTTTACACTGATCTACATCCTCACCCCTTTTTAATATTTTTTTTTTAAATTTTGGGACAGAGTCTCACTCAATTGCTCAGTTGACCAGGTGGGGCTGGAACTTCCGACCCTCTTGCCTCAGCCTCCCAGAGTGCTTGGATTATAGGGGTGTGCTAACCATGCTATATATACTTTCCATTATCTTTTACTACTCCTTTACTGCTCATTTGTATTGGTAATTGATTCTAACTGAAAGTTAAAACTTTTCTTTTAATAATACCCTTTCATAATACCCCAATAGTGACTTTATCATAGTAATACTCACATTTTGGACTTGTAAAGCTTTAGTCAGTTCTTTATATATGCACAAGATAGTATTTGGAAAGAATACAAACTTTCCATTGAAAGAGGAGTATTTTCTAGGGCTCTAACAAACAGCAGCATGATGACTGTCATTAATAATACTTTATTGTATAGTTGAAATTCACTGAGAGAGTCAATATTAAGTATTCTTACTATACCAAAGAAAGGTAACTATGTGTGGTGATGGATATGTTCGTTAACTTGACTGTGTTAATTGAGTCCCAATGAATATATATCGAATCATCCTAGTATACATCTTAAATATATACATTTTTATTGTCACTTTTAGCTCTGCAAAGCTGGGGAGGTGGAGATAGCATTTGCCTGCAACTAGTCAGAAGAAGAGGGGTTACAAAACTCAAGAGTAGGAAAGTAGGAGAAAGACCAAAGTTCCCAATAACCCATTTCATAGATTTCCTTTCCTAATATTAATGCTCTATGGTTACCTGCCTGTCCTCTTTTTCTTGGCCTTGCAGAATCCAGTTACTGGCTTGCTTCCAGCCAGCTATGATCAGAAAGATGCCTGGGTCAGAGATAATGTGTACAGTATCTTGGCCGTGTGGGGTTTGGGTCTGGCCTATCGGAAGAATGCAGACCGGGATGAAGATAAGGCAAAGGCCTATGAACTGGAGCAGGTATTGAAAACAAAACTACAAAGAGATCTGGAGCTATGTGTAGTCAGGCTGGAGGGAGCAGGGACTAAAGAAAATGTAGCTCTGGGGGCCGGGGTTTAGCTCAGCAGTTTGGTGGCCTGCCTTGCAAGAAAATGTAGCTCTTTCTTCGCCTTCCTAAAATTACACTCCAAAAAGATCTTTTGTATTGTGCTGAAATGTTTCTTTGCAGTGGAAACATGAAACTTGCTGATGTGGGGGAAGAGAGTACAGCCTATTCCATTACCTTGGAAAATCCTATCTTGGGACATTTCTTAAAATTAATGATCCTCCTTCTAAGTAATATTTTTTTTTGCAGTCTCCAATTCATTCGCGTTAAGTAGAATGTTTGGAGGAAGATATTTCCTATTTTTCTTTATTTTTAAACAAATACTTATTTGTATGAGTATAACTGAAACAAATCAGCAAACTTTCCATTCTAGACACAAGTAAAGACTTGATTTTTATAGCTATGACCACTGCTTCTTAAAGTCAGTTATCGCCTCCCCCTTCTCCCAGAGGCAAATTGAGGTCAGAGTCAGCAGATCTACTACCCTTAAACCCACTTTTAAGGCCCTGCTCAGTAACTGAACATCCTTTATAAAACTGTTTAGATGGACAGGGAACCACATCCTCTCAAATAACCAAGTAAATGATCATCTGGGCTACAGGGACTTTAAGAGTTGAGGTACTCTGCTGTCAGTCAGAAGATGCTTGTGGACTCTTCCATTAGTGAGAAAAATTCTTTGTACACCAGCCATTTTCTTATGTGGTCTCTTTCAGACTTAGGCAGGCTGAACTCGTCTTCATCTATAAATCAGAATATTAAAATTTGGTTGTTTTTAAGAGCACCAACATTTTGTGGGATGTTGTCCTTAGCAACAGCAGGCATTTGTTTTTCCTTCAAGCTATTATTTGGAGAGTCTTTCCTCTATCCTGGGAAGTACAGATCAATATTTTTATGAATTTTCTAGAAATAATACCATTGTAGAAGTACAGGAAATTTAGAGGAGTGTGTAGTGCCTATAGCACCTAATGCCACATCCTACATCCTACTCTGAGTATTTTGCTTTGTATTTTGTTTCTTTGTTTTGTTTCTGCTAGAAATAAATACCAGTAGAACTGGAATTGCATACCTGGTATGATTTTATCAATTTTAAAAAATATTATTAGAAGAAAAAAATTTATCCCTATTGACCAATCATTTATTCTGCAAAGTTGAAATTTTTCCATATTTGACCCAAGTGGAAAGAATTTAAAAGAGGAAGAAGAAAAAGTAGGGAAACACTGAATTGTTCATTCTAAAATTTTCACGTTCCATTACATAACTTTTCATATTGGAGCTCCAGTGGTGCAGTTAGCACACAGTACTTATATAACATTTCATGTTACCATAAAAAACTTTATTTCACCACAGTAGTAATTTTGGAATGTTTCAAAACCTTATGGAAATAGAATACAACATCAATAAAGAAAAGTTCTTGTGAGAATTCTAAACTTGCTATGAATTTCCGTTATGGATTAATATATTTTTGTATCAGATCTCATTAATTTTTTCAAACTTGATTAACCATTAATCTAGACCTGGGGTCAGAAAACCACCTCTGTAAAGGACAAAATAGTAAATATTTTTGGCATAGTAAGTCACTTGTGTTCTCTGACCAACTACTCAGCTCTGGAGTTGTAATACAAAAGCGCCAGAGATTATACATAAACAGTGAGCATGGTTATGTTGCAGCAAAACTTTACAAAAAGAGTGTCGGGCTGGATTTTTCCCTGGTCTAGATGAGTGGTTCTAAATTCTGGCTGTACATTGGCAATTACTTGGGAAACTCTTCAGGTGTACCCTTACTGGACCCCACTTTGGAACAATTTAAATAAGAATCTCTGGAAATTGAAGCCAGGGTTATGAATAGTTTTTTAAATTACCCAAGTGATTCTAATGTACAGAGAGATCTCTAATGTGCATAGACAATGACTGATCCATGGCTGGTAAATGAACATGGGTTGAATCCATCAAATCCACAGATAAATTTCCACCTACTGCCAGCTTTCCATCATTGTATGGATTTTCACAAAACATTGATTATTAATCATTTGTACCTTTCCTTCCAACTCTCACCCTCGTTTTTTTCTGATAAATAATGTCAGAGATCTGAAGAGAATTCTGGATATAAATGAAACAAGAGTTTAAGTGACTCTCATAATTTAGATTGAGAACAGGATCATGCACATGTATGGTTTTACAACTGCCCCTTTCTCCCAGGAAAGTAAATACAGTCTCATAGCCATAAAAATTAGTCACACAAATAGTGATCTCCCTTTGGCTGCCTCCAGTTCTACTTCTTCCTTAATTTTGTTCTCTTTGTGTAGCTTCTCATCTTTATCATGAGTTTAGATATTACTTTTATGAGAATGACCTCCAAATTTTCATTTTGAACTCTAATCTTCAGTTTCAAGCCCTGGTTTTCATTTTTCTGTTCATTTTTGCCTTTATATATTGTGGCTCCACAAACTCAATGTGTCTGAAACTCCACCTTCCCAAGTAAAAACAAATAGAATAAATTACTGAACATTTAACCAAACATCCCTATTTATTTTAATTGTGTCCTCATTCTAGTGATCACCCTGGCAATACTACTTGGAGTATCTTCTGTAGTGTGTTCTGTAGAATGTTAGCCCAACTAAGTTTGGAACCATGTTAAACAGAAGATTTTTTTCATACTAGTGCCCTTCATCCTACCCCCAGTTCCAACCAGGTTGGTATCATTATTGCTCCTGTAACAATCACTTTAAAAAGATACCTAACATCACATTATATAAATACTTTTCATTTTATAGCATACTTACCAAAATTACCAGTATTTTTATTCTCACAAAGCCCTGTAAATTAGGTATTGTTCTCCCAAATTTACATGAAGGGGCTGAATTAAACAGATGAAGCTGGAATTTGGTGGTGCCATAACTAAAACCTGGATTTTATGACTTCAGATTTAGTTTTGTCTGGCTTCTTGCCTCCATGGAAGCCATGGATATTGCCACCGTCAGATTTTAAGGGCACTGTTTCTTCCATATTCCTGTTTCCTTCATGAACTAATATCATTCTTTGAAAGCCCAGTACAGGTACACTTTTTCTGTGGTTCCTGTCCCTCCTTGATTGTACAGTTATAATTTTCACCCCTATGGCCTTGCCAGTTGGAGCCCACATGGGCTCTCTCTTGTACTAGCTATACTCATTGCATGCAGCTTTCCCCAGCAGATATTCTTCATTCCTGGCATATACAACTTTTTGAAGTCTCTACTGCTTATCTGGCTTCATTTTCACAGCTTCATGTACCCATCTCTCAGGGACATATTATGTGGCCTCTCAGACCCTCCTTTGAAATCTGTGTGGACACCTTCATGACTACACAATTCTTTTATTCTGTATGCCCGAAGAGCCAACATCATGGGAATATCACCATGATCTGGCACCAATTCATGTAGTAGTCAGAACCCCATGGACCATGGTTTCTATATACCTGGACACCTGATCTTGTGAAGTGGTTCCCAAGAAATAAGTTCTGTAGGCAGCCCACTTTCAGCAGCGGACCCAGAGAATTTTCTCAGATGAAAAGGTTTATACTTTTGCACCATTCAGCCTGCAATGAGCGAGGTCTTGCTGATTCCTAAAATACCCTCAAGGCATCTTCTTGCCTTGGTTCAATGTACTTTTACATGTGTTATACAAGTGCTTTCTAGCCAAAATTTAAATTGTTCAAATCTTTCTGTTCTGCTTTTTGTTCCAAATTCTCACTATAAATCTGGCTCAAAGAGACCAACCATACCCATCCAAAAGACTGAATATTGAGCTGGTTGATATATACCTGGGGAGGGGGAATAGAACTGATTAATTAGGAATTCTTAGGTACAGTGTGTAATAGTTAAGTTTGTTTAACAAATCTGTCTTATCTCCTTGCCTTTATGTTCTACAAAATCTACCAAAGGTTCACTAAATATCTGGTTTATGTATACCTGGGGGGGTTGTGTATGGTCATATATTCTTATATTGTCAGTTCACAGATATATAGATCTATATCCTGAAAAGAGTAGATGAAAGGGAGTGTTATTTTCTGTGAGTAGAAGCACTGGTGCATGAAAGTGTCTTTATAATTAATGGCATATTGATACACTTGAATCAGAAAATAACCAGTTTGAGTAAAAACAATCTTGTCACTCCTATCTCCAGATACTTCCTATTAATTTTATCTTGACGTGGAATTGGAACTTGAAGACAAAATTGCTAATAATGGCCACTATAGGAGAACAAAAACAGATGGATAATTTATTGCTCAAATTAAAGTAAATTTAGATGGCAGTAGTGAGCCTGAATGGTAAAGAGAGTTGACCAGTAGGCAAGAGATAATGGTGAAATAGTAAAGAAGACAATGAAGTGATCCCAGGGTGCTGGATTCTTTACAGAATGATATATAAGCTGAGTCCACTACTGGTTGATTGTAGGTCTTGAACATGTTTAAAAATGAGTTATTATATATATCATTGATTTAAAGAAAATATTGCTCAAAATCCTGACCCTGCCTCCCACTCTCATTCATTGAATGTTGGAAAAGAAAATGTGGTAGAAACCTTTGAGTATGTGGTGACGTGTGGTGACCAAAGTCTCCCCACAAAGAAGGTGTGTTCAATACTTTAAGTAACAGATTATGTTAAAGAGATAGTCTCTTTCATTAGGGTTAAAGTAATGTTGGTGATTTTCCTGTAGGGTTTATACTCATTTCCTTACTTTAAAAATCACTACTATAGGCTTTCAAATGTGACAAGATCATGTACTGTCTGTTCTTTATCTTTTAAAAAATCTTTTATCAGTAAAGGAAGGAGGTCATTTATATATGAAAATTACTCAAGAAACTCTCCCAAGGAAACATTTTTACTTTTCTCTCAGTAAAAGGCTTCATAAAGAGTTGGATCATACTTTAATAGATAATTATCCTGTCTTATGTGAGAAACTCAAATATAAGAAATTTAAAGAGCAAAATGAAGATAAATGTTAGAAAACAGGGAGGTGGACTTTGTGGAGATGGCAAGAGAACCTGGAAATAGAGGAAGAAAGGAAAGCCAAAAGAAGGAGAAGTAAAAATGTTAAGATGTGATGTATATGCACCGATTTCCCAAGATAAATATAATTTGATATTGCAAACACATACCAAAAATAACTTTGAATGCCCTCAAAACATAAATACTTATGCTCACCATGCCTATTGCTTATAGTCCCACTTGAATGTTTTGAAGGAATAATAGAATGATGTATCTCCTAAACAGATTAGTTTCCAGAGGTGTCCTGAAGCCACCTCTGAGCCAGCACTCCCTGAAGTAACCTGGATGGATTTTCTTTCTGATCTGTGAAACAGAAAGCTTCTTAGAGAACTGCTGAAGATTTTCAATTTTGTGTGCTTCCAAGACATACCTACCCATTCTACTTACGGTGTTGGAACTTGAAGACAAAAATGGCAGATAAAGGCCGTTCCAAGAGGACAAAAATAGTCTCCTGTGGGATATAGTTGGTGGTCAGAATTTTGGAATGTTATAATTGGAAAACAAACCACTTCAGAAATTTTCAAGCCCTAGAAAGAAAAGTAGTATTGCCCGAAGAATTAAGAAGTCTGTTCTTTTTCCCCCAGGGAGAAAGTTTTGAGTCATATTAACAGTCCCCCTTTACGCTTACTCTGAGTTACAATTCACTTTATTCCTTGGGGAAAATGTTCAGATAATTATTTCTTTGAAATTTTAATTCTTGGTTAGTTTAGAAAAGATAGAAGTAAGGTGATGTACCTTTCTTAGGCCACAGGATGGATTTTAGAATACCCTCAGAGCCTTAGGATTTTGGAGCTACCTTTCTCTTTTCCTGTGGGTGGTATGTCCTCTACTAGGATGGTTGGCTTATTTTTTTAAAAAATAAACCTGCCAAAACTTGTATTATTGTTTTTTAACTTGAAAGAATCACATACTGTAGCATTTGGTTTCACTTTTTGCTGCAATCTGCTCTTCTGAGTACCAAAAAAGTAAATGTCATGTAAATAGGAACCCAGGATAGAGTTACTTGTTCTCAAAATGTCAGGCACCAACTGTCATTGCTGAGTAAGTGTTCTTGTGTCTAATGATGTTTATAACAGTCTTGTTTCCATTTATTTCTGCAGAGTGTAGTGAAGCTGATGAGGGGACTGCTGCACTGCATGATCAGACAGGTATGGTGTTGGTAACAACTTGCTCTCTAACAAAAGCACATCATAATATTGCTACCCTTTACGGAATTCTTATAGCGTATATTTCTTCAATTTCACAAATAGTGCACATTGATTTTAGAAAATTTGTGAATGCCAAGGGGAAAATGTCATCTATAATCTCTCCATCCAGCTACCACTGGAATATTTTCAGTTTTTTTCCTCTCTTTTAAAAATGATTTTAATGTAATTAATTATTAATGATTATACAGGTTAAATGATGATATAGGTCTAAAAAAAAACCCTTAGAGCCAGATAAACTTTGTGGGTTTTTTTCTAGCTCTTTTTTAAAATATATTTTTATTGGTACATTTTAGGTATACAATATAGTTACATTCATCATTGGAATCTTGTACTCTCCCGTGATATCTCTTGGTTCTTATCTTTCCCCATTCCCCTAGCCACCCTTTCCTACCTACAAAGACTTTTTTTTTCCATTTTTCCCTTCTCTCCCATTTTTTCTTTTCCTTCCTACCTTTCCCATACCCTTCCCATTTCCCCAACACCTTTAGTTTTTTTGCCTATTATACAATATGAATTATACATTTTGACTCTTATTTATACTTTTAGTTTATCACACCAGAGAAACTATATGGTAGATACACATGTGTGTCCTATTAATTTAACTTAAGAGTGTGTCCTCAATGTGCATCCACTTAGCTATAAATGTCTCTAGTTTCTCATTCTTTATCCATTTGGTGGGTGGTACCAGGGATCGAACTCAGGATCTTGCTCTTGCAAAGCAGGCAGTGGAACCACTGAGCTAAATACCCAGCTAGTACTCCATTTTTTAAAAATCCACATCTTCTTTATCCAGCCCTTAAATGATGGGCAATTGGGCTATTTCCAAGTTTTAGCCATTGCAAGCTGTGCTGCTATAAACATGGGTAAGCATATATCACTGTGGTATGATTCTTTTAATTCTTTTGGGAAGATACCCAGCAGGGGAATAGCTGGGTCAAATGGGACTTCCAATCCTAGTTGTTTAATGTATCTCCATAGTGATTTCCACAGTCGTTGCACCAGTCTGCACTCCCACCAACAATGGAGAAGGGTTCCTTTCTCCCCACACCCCACCAACATTTGTTATTGTGTGATTTCTTGATAGCAGCCATTCTTTGTGGGGTGAGGTGGAATCTCAGTGTTGTTTTCATCTGCATCTCTCGAATGACCAGTGATGTGGAACATTTTTTCCTATATTTATTTGCTGCTTTTACTTCTTTTTCTGAGAAATGTCTGTTCATTTCAGATGCCAATTTTGGAATTGGGGCATTATATGTGGGCGTTTGATTTTTTATTTCTTTATATATTCTAGATAGTAGTCCTTTATCTGAGAAGCAGCTGGTAAAAATCTTTTCCCACATTGTAGTTTGTCTCTCAGTTCTGTTGATGGTTTCTTTTGCAATGCAGAAGCTTTTTAATAAGATGAAATCCCAGGTGTTGATTCTTTGTGCTAGTTCCCATGCTACTGAGGATTTGTTCATAAAGTCTTTTCCTATGGCAATGTCTTCAAGAGTTCTGCCTAACTTATTTTATTAAGTTTAGTGTTTCTGTTTTAATATTTATATCTTTAATCCACTTGGATTTTAGTTTAATGCATGGTGAAAGAAAGGGATCTAATTTTAATCTTTCACAAGTTGAAATCCAGTTTTTCCAACACCATTTATTAAAGGGGCTATCTCTCCACCAGTGAGGATGGTTGGCTCTTTTGTCAAAGATGAGGTAGCTGAGTATGACTAGAGTTGTTTCTGCATCTTTTGATCTATTCCACTGATCCTGGGTTCTCTTTCTTTACCAGTACCATGCTGTTTTTATCACAGTGGCTTTGTAGTATAGTTTCAAGTGTTGTGATACCCAATGCCACGTCTCTGTTGCCTAGAATGGCTTTTGCTATTCTAGGTCTGTCCTTGTTCCAAATGAAATTTTGTATTGTTTTCTCTAGTTCTGTGAAACATATTGTTGAGATTTCAGTAGGGATTGCATTGAATCTGTATAGCAGTTTTGGTAGTATGGCCTTTTTCACTATATTGGTTCTTCTTACCCAGGAACAAGGGATGTCTTTCCATTTTCTTGTATCCTCTTTTATCTCTTTTTTCAGTGTTGTAGTTCTCAGTGTAGAGGTGTTTTGCTTCCTTTGCTGGATTGATTCCTAGATTTTTTTTTTGGATGCTATTGTGAAAGGGATTGTTTCCCAAATTTCTCTCAGTGAGTCTATTATTTGTTTTATAAGAAGGCTATTGATTTTTGAGTGTTGACTTTTTATCCAGCTACTCTACTAAATCTGTCAATTAAGTCTAGAAATCTGTTGGTGGAGTTTTTTGGGTCTTCTATGAAGAGTGTCATATCATCAGCAAACAGATCAACTTTGGAATGAAGAATTTTTCAGGGCCAGCACAGAGCTCTGTGATAAATCAATTTCCTAGTATGTGTGAAACCCTGGGCCTGATATCCAGTACTATAAAGACAATAAATTTTAAAAGAATTAAATTTTTTCAGATTTTAAAAGGTAGTACATTGCATATACTATACCTTATTCTTTCAGTGGATCTAGAATAGTATTCTATAATAAAAATGTATCTATATAGGGAAACGTGTCATTTGACACTAAATGAAATATAGTCTATAAACAGCCCTTATCAATATCAATCTAGTATTGCTACAAAGTGAGTTTTTTAAACAAGTGATTCCTTATGTGAAACAGAATAACAAAAAGACTATAGATTATCCAACTTATAAATTAGTAAGAAAGGTTCAGAAATAGATCAACAAAATGAGATAGATGGGTTATGTAATATACTGATTAGTAAGAAAAACATGACTATACTAATGGAAATGAACAAAAAGTTAATCCAAGAAATGTAAAATAGTCAATGTATGAAAAACAGTTTATTCTTCCTGGTAGATCAAAGAAAATTCTAATTAAATTTAACTATCAAATACCTATCCACAACATGAAATTGACTAGAACTGAAAGCCTGATGTGAATTCAAGGCCAATGAACTGTTGTGGATGATAAGAAGTGGGCTCTTGGGATGGAAAATGATTAAAATAGTTAAAAACCTCTAGCAATTTAACAGTGAACACAAATAGTTTTTAAAATATTCAAATGCATTATAGTAATTCTGCTTCTAGCAATTCACTCTAACTAAGGAAACCATCAAAAATAAAAATAAAGGTGTTTGTACAAGAATATCTGACCAGGATTTACTGTATCACTTAGGACTGCACACTCAGCCACATGTAACAGAAACCTGACAGAGGCTTAAACAAGCAGTGTGTTCCTTCTCATGTATCAATAAGTTCAGAGGTCAGCAGTTCATTAGGATCCAAGCTCCCTAGGCATCCACTGTAATACCCAAAGCAAGTAACTATCTTCCTTATACCAAAAACTGGCTCTGCTGCTCAGGTTTCATGTCAGCACTCCAAGCAAAGTAAAGAGATAGAGTAAAGGCTGCTGCTTGCTCAATCTGTTTGCATCAAAACATCTAGGGGCCAGGGATTTAGCTCAGTGGTTTTGCTGCCCGCAAGTGCAAGGTCCTGAGTTCAACCCCTGGTACCTAAATAAATAAATAAATAAATAAATAAATTCCTAGCAGCTTTATTAAGCAGGCATCCACCTGCATCTTTTAACTCTCCATAGTGAGTCATATGGACTCCCTTAGTAGGAGCTGAGGAGGGATTCTCAACCAGGTACATTATCATCTCCCCCACCAGAGGTGGTATGATGCTAATGATGAAAATACAATAGGGAGTCTGTTTAATTGTGAAATTCTCTGTAGCTATTAATGTCAGGTCTTTGAAATTTACTAATTTGGAAAATACATTGCAGTACCAAATGAGAAGCAGGACAGAGAACATATGTAATACAATCTCAGTTTGTTTAAACAATATAACTTATACATATACATGTATATATATATATATATATATACATGTATATGTGTGTGTATACATAATATCTCTACACATGGGGAAAAAACATTAATCACACATAGTTGTGGTGATTTCTGCCTGTAATCCCAGCACTCTGGGAGGCTGAAGTAGGAGAATCACTCGGCACAGCCCAGGCAACTTAGTGACTTGGGAGACCGGTCTCAAAATTTAAAACACAAATTAAAAGGGCAGGGATATACCTCAGTGCAAAGGCCCTAGGTTCAATCCCCAGTACCACAAAATCAAAACAAAAAATAAAAATAAAAATAAAACATTAATTGTAGTTAAGTTCTACAGAGTTGGTATTTCTAGTCTGAGCAGTATTGATGGATAGTTTTTTATTTTATTCATTTTTGCATATTTTCTCAATTTTCTACAATAAATGTGAAAACTGGGAAATGTTATTTTAAAAAACAGGATGGGCCAGGGATTTAGCTCAGCGGTTCAGTGGCCTGCCTTGCAAGCGCAAGGATCTGAGTTCAATCCCCAGTACCAAAAAAAAAAAATTTGAACGCGAAAGAATAGAGAATAAATCAAAAAAAAAAAAAAAAAAAAAAAAAAAAAAAAAAAGCAGAGGAAACTATTATTTGAAAAAATACCTGTGCCGGACATGGTAGTACACGCCTATGAGCCCAGCACTTGAGAAGCTGAGGAAGAGGATTGTTGCTAGTTTGAGGCCAGCCTGGGCTACATAGTGAGTTCAAAACCAGCCTGAGTTACATAGAGAGGCCTAGCCTCAGAAAAGCAAAGCAAACAAAAGATACCTCACATATTTTCATAGGAGACTAAGTTAAAATGTCTATACTCACTCATTTTCATCTTCATTGCCTAAAGAAGGAGGCTGCTATTTTGCTATTTTTCACTTGCTTTTGTGAATTCTATGTAACTAAATCGTGTTTATTCATTCCCATTTGGCTTTGCCTTTTTTTTTTCAGTTTGCTGTTAAACTGGAACACTTTTCATCTGAGGGACCCTTGACTGGTTTTCAATACATGATTCTTCCACCAGCTGGAGCTGGTTCATCTACTTTGGCAGCCTTTATTTCTACATTAATTTTTTGACTAGTTCAGCTGTCAAACATCACTTATTTAAAACCACCACTTAGGGCTATTCATCTTTTTTGTCATTGTGATTGCCCTCTTCCTGTGGAAGCAGAGGCTGGATTCTCTTGGTCTGTGGTGGGCCCTTCCTGGTGGCAGACTCGCTCTTTGAAGCATGACAAGAACACAGGCTTAGCACACAGTATTTAGGACACCCAGTTCCCACCATGAACTCAGGACCTTGTGCTTGTGAGGCAAGGGGCAGAACCACTGAGCTAAATCCCCTACCCCCTACCCCGACCAAATGAGTTTTGACAGTAAAACTTACTTGAAAAACCTTTTCAAAGTGTTTTGGCTTTAGGATTGGAGATAAAGGATCTTGGACTTGCAGTAATTTGCATTTCTTGACCTTGAGTGAAGCTGAGCATCATTCCATGTATAGATTGAAATTTTGCATTTCCTCATTGATGAAGTGCCTACTAGGTCCTTTGCCTATTTTTCTTTTAGGTTGTCTCTTTCTTACCTACTGAAGAGTTCTCATATATTGTGGACATAAATCATTTGTTACATGCATTGCAGATTTTTTAGCAGTCTACCATTTATCTTTGAGTTTATGTTTTCTCTGTACAAAAGTATTTTAGTAAAAAGTATTTTATCCTAGTTCTTAAAACATGTCACACACATCAAATCTGACTTCATTTTCTGGAGTTGAGATGGTTTCATTAGAAAATGAATTGAGCCAGGCATGGTAGCTCACACCTGTAATCCCAGCACTTGGGAGGCTGAGGCAGGAGGATCGCCATGAGTTCGAGACCAGCCTGGACTACATAGTGAGTTCCAGGTCAGTCTCAACTACATAGTGAGACCCTGTCTCAAAAGAAAAGAAAAAAAAGAAAACAAATTGAGGCCCAATTGGTAAAGTGACTGGCCACAGACACACAAGAGACACAACAAATCTAAAGTAGAAAGAAATTGATCCAGACTTGTGACCTTCCTTGTTAGTGCTCTCTTTATTGCCCTAATAACTATCTACTGTTCCCCTGTCCATGCTACTTTTTTTGTATTTTAGATATTTGCACTTTCTACCTTACCAAATAGATTTAAAGTTACTAATTTAATAAATGATGTTTAAGGTGTAGTAGTTACTATCATACATTACAAGCATAAATAATCAAACCTAAATTTCAAGAACTAAGACTTTCAGTTGTTTTATGACCAACATTTCCCTGTTGAACTTTTTTTTTCAGTAGGGGAACTGAACCCATGGCCTTATGAATGCTAAGCACACATTCTACTGTATCCCCAGCCTCCGGTGTTTCCCTACTGATCTCTAATAGCAGTTTTCCATCATACTTTATCTCTATAATTCTGTGTATATCTCAGCAGCTTCTTTTATTACTTCTTCATAATATATCATCTTGTCCTAATTTTCCTCAAAATTCTTTCCTCAATTTCAGCAAAAAATGCACAACACTGAGTTAGCTCTTACTAAGCTGTTCTCACTCAAATGCTCTGAATCTCAGTTCATATCTACAATGTGGCAAAGCAACTATATGAAGAGTGAAAGAGAATCAGTGAATAAGAAATAACTTTTTGACCATGTGTTATTATTTTCGGATTTAACTGCTTCAACTGAAAAATAATGTCTTTCCCGGTTATTGCAGTATTGGGGAAAAACAATGCATTGTAAATATTCATTTGCCTGAAGATAGCATTCAATGATATATGTTAAAATACTAGAGAACTGTGGCATATTGATTGATTATTCTAAATGTCCTTCTTTTGCTGTTTTTGTTTTTTTCAGGTGGATAAAGTAGAGTCCTTCAAATATAGTCAAAGCACAAAGGATAGCCTCCATGCCAAGTACAACACCAAAACGTGTGCCACTGTAGTGGGTGATGACCAGTGGGGACACCTGCAGTTGGATGCTACCTCTATATACCTACTTTTCCTAGCACAAATGACTGCCTCAGGTCAGTTCAAGGGGAGAAGTGCTCTGGAACACTTGGTTTCTCCAAAGGTATTGGCCAGAAGATAACATTGTTGTTTATATTGCTCAAAGAAGCACATTGAAAACAATGACATTTTGAAAATTTTGTGCAGAGAAACAACTCTTTGAGGTCTAGTTAATATTCTCTTATGTTGAGAAATAAGTCTGGGGTGCTAATGAATACTCTTATAAAATGAGAACCAGGAAGTCTGGAGTAGGTCTTCTTTAGACAGATACTATTATTGTTTATTAACCCTCAGATATGAGGAGATGGGAAGGAAAGACTAGCCTTTGTTTCTGGTGATTGTACTATACAGTGATAAACCTACATTAGTATAAGTATAAACTGAATGACAGTCTATATATTCTTTATGAATATATTATAAATAAGACATCTGCCTACAGGCATCTGTATTACATTTAAGGGATTACTTACTTGATCAGAATCTGAATATTTATTTTTTATTGTTGAATAATAAACTCCTCACAGGTGGTTTTGTTATTAGCTTTAGAGGCTTGACCTGAAAAATGATGATGTAAAATACAGCGTAACTCTCAACCCAGGTATATAATCCCAGCACTCTGAAAAGCTGAGGCAGAAGGATCACAAGTCAGAGCCCAGCCTTAGCAATTTAGCAAAGCTCTGTCTACAAATAAAAAATTTTTTAAAATAGAAAAGTGTTAGGGACCTAGCTTAGTGGAAAGACCCTGGGTTCAATCCCCAGTACTACAAAAAAGAAAGAAACACCATAAATCTCTTTTATTTATCCTAAATTGTGGACAATAACAATGAATCTCATTGCCTCTTGTTTATAAATTTTGTACAATCTTTGTCAGATCTTCTAAGTAGGTTAATAATACCACTTTTTTATTTAATTTATTGGAACATTCTAAGTAGACTGTACAGCTACATTCATTACTGGGATCTTGTACCTTTACATGCCAGGTCTTGGTTCTCATTTTTTTCCCCTTGTCCCCACCCTCCCTTCACCCTCCCCTCCCCCCTCAAACACTTTAATTCCCTTTTTACATTTTCTC